TGGAGGAGGGTATTTGATCACACAGGCCACACTGGCAGTTTTATCAACAAAGGCGAATAGTTTTCTCGGCATATAAACACAGGTTAGCCACCTGTAATCAGAAAATGTCACATATAGGCAAATCTCCTCAGACATGTGGAATGTCTTAGGCACAAAAAGGACCTCAGCCTATCAGTGCACGAAAAAAGTGCAACTGACAGGACCTGCAGACAAGGCAACCAAGTCAAATTATGAATCAAAGTTTCAGAAATTTGTTCTGATGTTCAAAGACATTTGAAGAAATCCAAAGCAGCAAAAAGGTTTACCATCATGCAACAAATCACAGGTCATTTGAAAAGGCACTAAGCTGCTCCTGGGTTGTTAAAAAGGCCTTACTACACTTTGAACCAAGCGTGCATCCTCAAAAAAAAAAAATGGAACTGGCGGTAACCCAGAGCTGATTTGTGGACTTGACATATACATAGGCGGAGAACTCTACCCTCAAGCATTTCCAGTACCTGTAGTCAGGATATAACCACTAGTGTTTTAGAGTAAAAGTTCTGGGTTACACTATGCACATTACCAGGTACTTCACAAATGATTTAAACAGAAATTAAGAACCTATATTAAAGAAATTATGAGCCTATCTTTAACAACTTAAGGCCACAGTATGGAGAAGATGGAGCCAGAAACTTCTTGGGAGTTGCACAGTTAACAGGACAAAAGGCAACAGACATAGGATGCAGTATGTTTAAAGCCTAATTACATATTAGGGAAAAAAATTCACAGTGAGGGCAGTCAAACATTGGAACAGTGAGAAGAACAGAGAATTTGTGAAATCTCCGTTCTTGGAAATACTGTAAAACTTAACTGGACAATTCTCTGAGCAACTGCTTGAAGTTGGCCCTAATCTGAGTGAGAGGTAGGATTAAGGCCTCCAGAGGTTCCGTTCCAACCGACATCACTGGAAGGATTTGTAGAATAATCCCATTCTTTCCCAGATCCTGCTCTTCTCACAGATATCAAGGGGTCTGCTCATAGATGCGTTAAAGAATCAAGAACTGAGATGCAGCTGTGCTTTTGCAGCCAGGCACCGATGAGTCAAGCACAAAGTGTAAGAATTATTCCTTTTGTCCTGATCCTTCACTAACAATGCATTATGATAAACAAGGGGTCATGGTTTTGCTGTTAGTGATTCAGAGCAGAATACTGAATGAGATAAACTAGCCTTAACTAGTGCCTCCATTCTGCTAAGCAAACATTAAGGTGTACTGTCAGTTTTTAAGCTTGTCTGCACTCCTTGTAAAGCAGATCTCCCTAAGAGGCA